ATTATAATAATTAAAATAAAAATAATTTATATAATTTTATATATTATATTAATTTTTATTAATTATTTTATAATTTTATTTTATATAAAAAATTTATTTTTTTAATTAATTATAATTAATATTTTAAAATTATTAAAAAAAAAAAAAATTTTTTTTAATAATTTTTATATAAATTAAAAATAATTTATTATATTTTTATTTAATTAAAATATTAATATATTATTTATTATAAATATATTATTAAAATATTATTTTTTTTTAAAATATAAAAATAAATTTTTTTTATTATTTATTAAAAATTATTTATTTAATAATAATAAAAAAGTTTTTTATTTAAGTTTTTTAAAAGTTAATAAAAATTATTATTATTTTAAAATTTTTAATAAAAATAATAAATATAAATATAAAAAATATTTTATTTAATAATTAATTAAATAAAATAAGGTTTTTAGTAAAAGAGTATTTAAAAGGTAGGGTACCTGTAGGTATAGGAGGGAAGCTTAGGCATTGCACTCGATGAAGTGTATATATTGGAGAAATACTGGAAGAAAGAAGTGCGCGGGTGGCAGATCGTTGAGATAGATTTTATGTTGATGTAGGAATGGGACTGGAGCTTGAGGTTGCCTTGCTCGTAGGCTACCTCTATTAGGGCAAAAGCTAGGGTCGGTCACGCTGTCTGCTTTGAATCCCCGGACAACTCCAAGACTGACCCGAAGAGTAGCCACAGATTCTTAAGGTGTTGTACATAGTTACATTCAATGTACTCTATGAATGCACACATACATCAGGTCTTGGAACCGGGACATTGGGAGAAGGAAGATCCATGCGCAATAAACACGCTGCAATATTCCTGCTACTGGGTAAGTTCCACTGCAATATTCATCATCGTGCCAAGCTTGTCTGCTCCCGCCTCCCAATTGACCAACTTGGCAGCGTACATGGGATCTCCAGCGCCCCCCTGCGCAACGAGCAACTCTCCAAATGTGGCCAACGGACAGCTCACTTGGTCCAGACACTTCTCATGCTCCCAGTCTTCCCCCGTGCGCGCTTCCCATATCGGCTTGCTCGATGGCAAAGGCAGGTTATAAAAGTCATCCATGCTGGAGCACTGCGCTCGATCTGTTTTGAGCGCGAACACGCGCGTGATGGCGAACCAAAGGCACCCAATCCTAATTTACACCTGAGTCAGCGCAAAGCTTTCATAGCGAGTCCCCAGATGGTGTTTCAACAGACCTGCGACGGGATTCGGCAAAGATCCAGTCATCCCAGGTTAAACTTGGGTTCGCAGCTTCAGTTTCCGAAATGACAAAATCGCCACCGATAAGGAGCTGCAGTTGCAGCTTCAGCTCCTGGTGACATCTTAGCCCATGTGTGAGAGAATCATCAAATAAAGGTACGGCGCACAATAAAGGTTTTCATCAAGTGCGCTCCACGTGAAGGAGTATCTTCGTCCTGGTCAATTATGGCCATGACAATGTAAATGGTTACCGCTTGAATGGCCTGTTGGAGCTCTGCTCGTGTGAAAGCATGTTTCTGGGACAGTCAGCCGACTCCGAGTTGCCATAATTGGATAAACAAGCGTGGCTTACACGATCGAGCAAGTGCTTCTGCTCGGCCTCGATAGTCCTCCAGAGAAAGGACCGCGTATCTGCCGTCCTGGATACAAACAGCTGGGCAATGCTCATACAGCTGGCTAGATTTTGCGGAACCCCGTCTTGGTGCCAGTACGGGTGAATAAACGGGGGGAACGTATGCCGTCGCAGCATCATATGCGGAAAGGCACTCACCATGCGCGAGATGATATTAGCCGCCTGCCGTGATGAGGGGTTCTCTTGGTTCAGCGGTGTCAGAGCCTTTGTGGCCCTCGCTTTTGCAATAATGTAGTCCGTTGATGAGATTAGGCTATTTATTTGGGCTGGCTTGCGTTGAGTCGTTGTTGGTTCCTGACTATCGGCCCATTCCACCACGCCACCAATGAAATCCTCAAAGGAATCTAACCCAACGTTGTTTGGATTGAGAAAACCATGGTCGATCTGGGTTTGAAAGTTTTGGGGGCTAGAATCACAGACATGCTGCGACAATTCCAGCCCTTGCCAATCCTGCTGACTAGTTACAGCAGCAGCTTCATTCAAGATGGGTACCGCCTCAGTGACACGGGCGTTAGAATCGTGTAGTGATACAGTCTGGAAATAACCATTTGGTTGATGCTGAGAGACGTAGATACATTCAAGGCTTTTCCGCTCACAGCGCGCACATTGCGGCGTAGCAAAGTTGCATTTGGCCTTGGACGAGTTGCACGCAACACAAGCTCTGGGCCGGCCCTTGCGCAGGTTTCGTGCTTTTTGGCAGTATTTGACGTGGCGGTTAAAGGAAGCTTCTTTTTGTTGTTGTCAAAAACTTGGCAGCAGGCTTCTGTGAGCTTTCCAGGCAGTTCTTACCTCGTGTAAATGACTTGTCGCAAAGTGGGCAGGTGTTGAAAAATACAGAAAGTTGTAGTTCTTCCATGGTCACGAATAATTATTAAATTGTCAATGCTACAACGCTTCTCATTTTCGATATAGATTGACTGATCAAGTCCAAGTTATAAATGGCATTTGTCATCTCTTGAGCCAGGTCCTATGGAACTCCGGAAATAGTGTCGTAACTCCGGTCCTCGACAAAGCCTACAGGTAGACACGGGGCAAGAAAATATTTTTGCAAAGAACAAGATTTTTCTGATTCTATATCAAAAGACCCTGGTATGGAGGAACTAGATTCTAAGGATTTAAGGCGCAGTTGGACATGTCATCCAAACGTCAAGCTGCCTCACCAAGGCAACACACCCTGTCGATTGGTAAATGTGCCCGTCTGCCCATCCTCCCCAGCCGTGGCCAACTGGACAATCCTTGTAGCTCCGACTTCTGGGCTCTCGCCTCTCTCATCAAACGAGGTCAGCCTGGTATTAATATAGCCGGGACACACGGCGTTGACTTTTCCGCCAACGTCGTCCAGGACGCGCGAGAAGTTAATGGCGAGCATGTTGACCGCTGCCTTGCTCGCGTCGTAAACTTTGTAGTCTATGCTGTACCACGCGGTTGTTTTATCAAGTGAAGTTTGCAAGCTGCCCATGATGCTGCTCACGAAAACAACCCGTGGAGGACTGCACTTGGCCTTGCGCAGCAGCGGGACGAGCCCTTCGGTCAGGACTCCGGTTCCAATGACATTGGTTGTAAAGGTGCTAGTGTATATATCCCACTTGTTCAGGGACTCGTCGTGATCGGAAGATATGCCGGCGTTGTTCACGAGCACATCGAGATAGCCGTAGTGGCGGTCGATGGTCGTAATGGCTTTCTCTATGGACTGCGCAGATGTGAGGTCCAGTTCGACAACAGAAGCTTTATGTCCGTCCTGGCGGAGCTCAGATGCAATCGCCTCGCCAACTTGGACATTTCGAACTCCAAGGAGAACGTGGTGTGCGTGTTTGCGTGCGAGAATTTCGGCTACGGCCCGGCCAATGCCCTGGGTTGAGCCAGTAATGAGGGTGAGAGGATGAGGCGGCATTTCGAATGTGCGGGAATAGGAGTTGAGACTTGGTGTTATCCTGTCTCTCCATCTCAATATTAAAAAAAAAGGATGGGGCCTATATATACATTTCAATCGGCCGTCAGCCTGGCCATGATTCATCATTCCGGCGGCAAACTTCTGCCGAAAACGGGTTTGCGTGTAATGGTCAGTTAGAACAGTTTTGACTCTGTAAACTTGATATCAATACCAAATGTAATGAGTTGTGGCAGAAAGAGTGACTCTTTTCTATGGCCAACTTGGCCGAGGTGGTGGCCGGCCAAGTTGGCCGACATGTACTTAGTGCGGAAAAGGTTGTTTCTTAGTCTCTATCAAAACTAGCCTCCACTTGCATGAAATACCCTCGTATATAGTATCTCTTGAAAGATCTAAAGATCTGGAGTTGTATGTTTAGTGCGAGGTCTGGGGAATTTGCTGACGTAGGCTCAATAGCTAACTAAGCACAGGAACATAGGTTCGGTAACTTCCCACTGTAATACGCGCCTGCTTGGTAATAAGCCCTCCACTAGTAAACCGCTTATAGCAAACGCTTATATGCGCTTTTGAGGCGGCGGCAACGAAGCATCGTCTAGGCGACAGTGCAACAGCGTCTTGGCCAAGTTAGTATACGGGAGCGGGCTAGTAGGATTAGAATGCTTCTGGGGGAATATAGGGAGAATTCAATAGAATTAAGTACCTGTTAGTATGTTTTCTAAGCTATATAGATCTAGCGTATATAAACACTAGATTAAACAGTAAAAGATAATTCATGCGATATATACTAGATAAATATACTTAAAAGGCTGGTTAAATGAAGAAAGGTATATACGTTGGTACTTTATGTTAGCTTAGGATATTATAGATAGTATTACTAAAGCAGTTACTTTTAAGAAAAAGGTATGTTAAATATGAAAACCCTTAGTAAATAATAGTAGAGGTTGCAATTGACGTTCGACCCGAACTCACAACCTTCTCATGGGACCAGACCCTAGGTTTGTTCTGTTTACATTTGATCCTTATTATAGAAGCCAGAGGCCGCCTTATAATTATAAACCTCAAACTATAGTCTATCCCTTAGCAATCTGTACTTACACTAACCTATAAGAGCCCGACTTCTTATAGCTATAGCATATCCTTTTACAAGACTAGCTATTACAGCTTGACTCACCCTCATATCTCAATTATAAATATAACCTCTGTAATAAAGCTCTAGTGCACATCCTGCCGAGCAAGATAAGATGCGTAATGGTCTCTAAATGTCTCCTCCAACGGCCGATACACAACACATAATTCCTCTTTGCTCCTCCTATTTTCTAAGTCGAAGTCAATCCCCAGATTCCCATCCGCCCATCGCTTGGACATATTCAGGAACGGTGCCGCCAAATAGACCAGCAACTTGGGCATCGCTCTCGCCGGTAATAACCTCGCCTGCTTGTGGAACGGGCGCACCAGCTCGGCCATAGCGAGCATGCTTGTTGACTTCGCGTGAGATACAATGTATCTCCCGTTCGCCTCAGTCTTCTCGCCCGCCGCAACGTGCGCAACTGCCAAGTCGCGTACGTCGACAATCGAATATGAGTAGTTTGGGATGCCATACCGGTCGGAGCCCTCATACATGTGCTCGAGCATGCGCAAAGATCCAGAGTCAGAGCCGCTTGATAGGGGAGGGCCGAGCACGAGACCTGGGCAGATGGCGACGAGATCCCAGCGGGGTTGGGACTGAGCGCTGGTGACACGCCAGGCCAGCCGCTCTGACTCTGCTTTGGAGTAGGCATAGGGATTATATGTTGGTGAGGCGGTTGTGTTCCAAACGGATTCAGTCAGAGTGTGCTCGGGGAGGGCATAGACTTCGGAACTGTCGCAATACATAGACACGACTGCGGTGTGTGATTAATATTGCTGTCTGGAAGCATTAAGGGATGTGTTGGGATAGTAGTGACTGAGGGACATACGGGAAGATGTGAGAACGACGCGTCGAACAGACTGTGTCTCATTGACTTCGTCAAGGACGTTCTGGGTTCCCTTAAGGGCTGGCTCAACAATTTCCTTCATCCCATTTTTGGTCTGTTGTGGCAAGATGAACGGCGAGGCAATATGATAGACAGTATCACAGTTATGCATAGCCTCTTTGAAGGAGCCTTGGACAAGCAGATCTGCTTCGAATAGGCGGAGTTTGCCTGGATGGGCGGCCTGCAGGTCCAGTAGGGGCTTGCACTTGTGCTGGTTCCTTAGGCTCCGTACTGTTGTGTGCACTATGTGGCCGTGCTCGAGAAGCTCCTTCACAACATAGAGACCGATGTAGCCTGTGCCGCCAGTGACAAGGGAGATGGACATGGTTGGCATAATAATTTGTTAGCTGACTTTTGGGATCTATGGTTCGCTGTCGCGTGCAGTGAGTATCTCTGGATTGATGAAAGAGCAAGAAATTGCAAGGATTTAAGTAATTTGTAAAAAGGCTAGAATATATGCTGTTGGGACGATATATTGGGACCCTGTGTTCTGTTATTATCCCTTCTTAAGACTTGTCAAGATTATCAGAATCACTAACCGCCAGCTATCATATTTATAAAAATTATTCGACTGATTACCCTACTTCAACCATTTCCCTATAAGTGTCCTCCCTAAGGTGTAACGTCATATAACTTACTGCACCGAACAAAACACGAGAAGCCGAGCGAAGTGAATCTGACGTGATACAGGCCCATCTTGTACAAATTCGAGCCCGCACTATTGGAGATTTGTCCGAGAAGGGAAGAAACGGGCGACGGGTGCAGCTGGTTCCACCCCGCTCCGCCTCTAAACTCTATTTGTCAAAGAGGGCAATGACTTTAGATCTTGCAAGTACTCGTACGACCGAATACATTAGTTCAATATATAGATTAAAAGAAGCGTTTCAAACTACATAGCGTCGGAACGTTTTCGTGTCCATGACAATGTATTCCAATTGGACACCTTCAAGTTCGGGCAGCCGCTCGAGAACCTTGCCTCACTTTTATCCATATATCCCGTAATTGTGAGAATATATTCATTCCACTGTAGTGCGAGTAGTAATGGTGTCTATATTATAATGATGGACTGCCTTAACGACAACCCGCCGTAGCCTCCTGCCGGTGTGCTGCTTTTTTCTCCTCTAAAGTTTGCCGTTAGAATATAGTGTCTAACCTGCAATACGCTACAATAGCGTAACCAGCGCCAGGCCCACGACTCAGGCTCTATCGTCAGCGGGGAGTTCAAGACCCTTGGGTGATGTACTATTGTATTGACGGCCTTGAGAAAGTCAATCAGCTGGCTCTAGAGTGCGGCCACAACAACCGGGACAAAATCACAGTTGCACTAGAGAAAATGGGCAACATCTATGAGGCGAAGGTCATGGCGTTCTTCGGCAAGCACCTGCACGATAATGAGGAAATCAGGTACATTTGTGACAGTACGGGCACTGTGACATGCAAGAGCAGGCAAGAGCAGGGCTCCAACCGGATGCGCATCTATCTCAAGGAGATATGTTTGCGAGAGCCTAGTCTGAGAGTGGGAGGGGCGCGCTAGAGAATGGAAAACGTAGTGTTGACCAAGGACGATAGGATGGCCTGATTATCATCCTTGATACCTGCCACTAGTTCACTGATAATGAGACTAACGCATGAGCCCCGGGGGGCTCCAGACCCTTTTGGCGTTGTAGCATATTCTTCGATTTCCTAGTACATCCAAGCCATGCGCCTCTCCAAGGAGGAGCCCAAGTGAACTTCGCTAAACCGAACCGAGGAGCCTCGCTCTGACACTTACCGCCAAGCGTACGTCTCGAAATACTTGAGTTAAGAAATTTTACTGTTAGGAAGGCAGTGTGAATTGGGTGGTTTTTGCAAGTTCATTGTAGTCAGAGCATCTACCATGTTCCCCTAGAATTGCCAGGGTCGATCTAATCTGTCATACAAGCGACGCTGAGGGAAAGAGAGAGAGCACGAGCCGAGAGCCCCCCCCCCCCCCCCAATACTCCAGCTTAGCTTAGTATTTTAAAATGTAAAGGCCATAGATAAACAATCTCGTTCCATTTTGACTAAGAGCTTACAACGTGAATGTACAGGTCAACCCTCTCCAAGAGGTACCAGTGGAAGCCCCAATAACGTTTGTAACCGCAACCTAACGCCTTAAGCCTATGTATAATTGTTTATTTATTTATTTATTTATTTTATTATTAACGTCCACTAAATAAACTAGTTATATAAGTCTTTATTTAAGCATTAAGATAGTAAAAGCTGCAGTTATTTAAATTTTATATTTACTATATTTTAATTTTATAAAAAAAATAAAAAAAAAATATTAATTTATATTTATAAAAAAAAAACTATAAAAATTTATTTTTTTTATTAATTTTTAAAATTTTTTATAGTTTTTATAATTTAAAAAATATATAAAATATATAATTTTAAATAAAAAGTTTTTTTTAAAAATATTTAAAAAAAAATATAATTATTTAATATTTTATAAAATATTTTTAAATTTTAAGTTTATTATATTTATAAATAGATTTTATATTATAATTAAATTTTTTATAATATTTTATAAAATTATTATATTTAAATTTTTTAATTAAAAGTTTATAAAAAATAAAATATAAAAAATAAAATTTAAATAATAATATAAAAATATTAAATTATTAAAATTTATAATATAATAAAAAATTATTATTTTAATAAATTTTTAATATTAATTTTTATTTTTTTTTTATTTATTTTTTAATATAAATAATTATAATATAATTATTTTTATATTTTAAAAATTTTAAATTTTTTTTAATTAATTTATTTACTTTTTTATTATTTAATATATTTTTATATTTAAATATTTATATTATTTTAATAATAATATATAATTATAGTTTTTTAATTATTTTTTTTAAGCTTATATATATATTTTATAATAATATTAATATAATTTTTAAAATTTTATTTATTATTATAAAATTATTTAAAAAAAAATATTTTTTTAATATTTAAGTTTAATATAATTTATAATTTAATAAATTTTATAGTTTTAAAAACTTTAATTATTTTTATATTATAAACTTTAATATTTATTAAATAATTATAAAATAAAATAAATTTATAATTATAAAATATAATAATATTTTATTTTATATTTTTTATTTAATTTTATAATTTATTTAAATATATTAAAAATATAATTTAAAGAAAGTTATTAAATAACTTAAAGTATTTTTTTATTATTTTAGCTTTAAATAAATTATAAAAGTTTAACTTTATTAAAACTATTTTATTATTTTTAATAAAAAAAAAATTTAATTATTTTATTAATTAAAAAAGCTATTTATTATAGTTTAATTATAAAAATTTTAAATAAAAGTTTTTTATTAATATATTTATTAATAAAATAATTTTTATTTAAGTTAATAAATTATATTAATATTTAAAGTTTTACTTAAGTAAATATTATAAATATTAATAAAATTTTAAATTTTTTATATATAATTATTATATTAATTATTTTTTAAATTAAAAAAATTATTTTAATTATTATTTTAAAAACTTTATTTATTTTTTTTATTAAATTAAAAATATTAATAATTATTTATTTAAAGGAGTAAAAAATATTTTATTTTTTATTTTTAAATTATTAAATCTTTATATTATATAAAGTTATTAAAATAATATAAATTATAATTATAAATATTATTA